ACATAAAAGCCATGCATTTTAGATTGTAGGGAAGTATTTTATTTTCTTAAGATTTTATTTATTTGAGAGAGAGAAGGAGAAAGCACAAGCAGGGGGAGGGACAGAGGGGGAGAGAGAGAGAGAGAGAAGCAGACTCCCAGCTAAGCAGGGAGTCCAAGGAGGGGTTGATCCCAGGACCCTGGGATCATGCCCTGAGCGGAAGGCAGAGACCCTTAACTGACAGAGCCATCCAGGTGCCCCATAGAAAGTGTCTATTTTATTTTATTTTATTTTTTTAAAGATTTTACTCATTTGTCAGAGAGAGAGAGCACAAGCAGGGAGAGCGGCAGGCAGAGGGAGAAGCAGACTCCCCGTTGAGCAGGGAACCTGATGCTGAACTTGATCTCAGGACCCTGGGATCATGACCTGAGCTGAAGGCACATACTTAATGGACTGAGCCACCCAGGCATCCCTGGAAAGTGTCTATTTTAAATATTCCCTCCTGTCACCTCCCCTAAGCCAATCACCCTTATAGCATACTCAGAGTGTGTTCATCACACCCAGACATTTAATGAGTGCTCCACATAAGTTCTTACTTACTAAAACAAAACAGAAGAGAGAGACAATCTATTCCATTTTCATTACACCCATCACCTAATTTGTACCATCATTTTTTTCCAGGTTCTGAATATGAATATTAATACTTATTTTCAAAATTGCCTGAATCACTTTGTCTCATTTCTCAATTTTTGTCTCTGCAACACCTAACACATATCGATGTATTAATTAATATTTGTAACACTTCTCTGGAAAAGGCTGTATATTAGAAAAAATAAAACGTTCTTTATCATTAACCCTAGAAAACATCAGCTTCTTCATATTCTGCCCTAAGTAGGATGTACTCTTTGGAAACTTATTCCAGTTCACAGAGGAAATTTTATGTTTGTCAAGTGTCTGATCTCCTCCATGCTAAATACAGTATTTATCCTTGTAATACCAGAATAAGTCTATAAGCATATAGATATATATGTGTGCATATATGTGTTTATATATACTATTATTTAAACTTTTCTAAGAACATAAAAAGGGGCCAAGCACATCATAAGTGCTTATTATAAAGATCACTAGGTGGATTTATTGAAAAAGTCCATTAACAATTAGGAAGGCAAATATTTCAACCCAAGTTTCAGAAATTCAAAAGGAGCAAGATTCTCTTCAGAGAAAACCTGTCTTTGACAGGTCCAGGCAATCCGCACTGAAAACATGCCCTCTGCTGCCATCAAGTGGCTATTTTCAGAATCGTTTTACGAATATAACGAGACTGCACGCTTTGTTTCCTACCATTTCATTCCTTACACGTTATACATATTATTCTTTGGGGAATTTAGATATTTGAGAAGGCCAGGCAAATTTTTCCTAAACTAGGGCATTACACTTTGAATGCTGTGAAAATTCCATGACTAAGAAGTTCTTCGGAAAGATGATGTCACAAAGGGTAAAAACTCTTCCCAGCCCTAGACTTGCTCAGTTTCGGGTCAGTAAAGACCTCACCATGGATTCTGAAGCACATCTCTCTTTATTTCTGCCAAACAGATTTCTAAATAGATTGGCCTTAAGATACCTAGTTGAACAGGGAGGGAAAAAAAAAGAAAGAGGAAAGGAAAAACCTGGGGGTGGAGGGAGTCATTTAGAATCATTTTTAACTAAGGCAAGTCCCATCACTGTGGAAGAAAATGGTTTCATGTTTCTCACTCCAGTGAGAACACCAGGAGCAGCCAACTTGACTCTTATCAAGTCAGTTCTGGCTAAAACTCTTAAGGTTCATTCAGACAAACCTAGGGTTTTTGTTCTCTATAAGGAGGGATCAAAGGACTCTAGCTGAACCTAAATTTACAACCAATCCTAAAATTGGGGAAAAAAGCAAATCATTCTAGGGAATCCTCTTTGAAATCCTAAAAGAGCCACAAACCAGGACACATTGGAATCCTCAATGCCAATCAAATTCATTGTAAATAATCCAGGATTCCCCTCTACCACCAGCAATCCACAGTCACGCAACTAGTCAATCATGATATCCACATGCCTATTCCTTCCACAGCCTCTGGCTCCATCATTCCTTGCCTTACAAAGGATGAGGCAATGCTTCAGATAACATGGTGTCTCCTAGAGAACCCCAAAAGCACAGTTGTATTCATTTTCCCTACCACCTGATTTTCCTCCAATTTACATTCCAACCTTAAAGTACTCACTAGTTCAAATGGCATGTGTAATTAAAGTTGGTAATATGTCTTTTATAAATTGTAATTTAATTTTTTATTAGCAAAACTAAACCACTTGTCCCTTGCTTTGGATTAAAAAAAAAAAATTAAAAAGTGACCCCATGAAAATGTCCTTCTGAACAAGGATGAGGCATATTGGTGAAGAGTTCAAGAGTTAGTCAGAATATGGAATACTGTATTTAGTCTGAAAATAAAAAAGAATCACTTTCGGGCGCCTGGGTGGCTCAGTTGGTTAAGCGACTGCCTTCGGCTCAGGTCATGATCCTGGAGTCCCGGGATCGAGTCCCGCATCGGGCTCCCTACTCAGCGGGGAGTCTGCTTCTCCCTCTGACCCTCCTCCCTCTCATGCTCTCTGTCTCTCATTCTCTCTGTCTCAAAAAAAAAAAAAAAAGAATCACTTTCAATTTTAGTTAAGACAGACACCCATAAATTCTTATTTCCTGCATATACCGCCTACTTCTTTCAATTTTCAAACACAGCTTGAAAGATAAAAATACAAAGAAAGACTAATAGACCTACAGTGATTGAGCATCATAATCAATCAGCAATCAACTCTGTACCAGCCTGACAGCAGGAGGTATTACCAGAATTCACTACTTAATCGCTCAACTCCTTGTTTAACGTCTAAAGTAGAGACTGAATTATAATGTAACTTTAGACAAGTGACAGGACATCCCTGGTCCTCAGTTTCCTGATCTGTAAAATGAAGATAATAAAAACACCTATTGCGCAGGGTCATTGTGAGGTTTAACTGAGTACTGGTACTAAGTGCTTAAGAACTGTTAACCCTTGGGGCGCCTGGGTGGCTCAGTTGGTTAAGCGACTGCTTTCGGCTCAGGTCATGATCCTGGAGTCCCTGGATCGAGTCCCGCGTCGGGCTCCCTGCTTGGCAGGGAGTCTGCTTCTCCCTCTGACCCTCCCCCCTCTCATGTGCTCTCTCTCATTCTCTCTCTTTCAAATAAATAAATAAAATCTTTAAAAAAAAAAAAAAAAGAACTGTTAACCCTCTGTAAGATTGGTTTTATAATTAGCTATTGAGTGCTCTACAGTGTGCCAGGGATGACCTATTATTGCATTTAGTTTATTACTTTTAAATCTGCTTCTTTCCTCAGAATAAATAACTTCCGGTTAGCAAAGACCTCAGTAGCTCCATAAAATAAAAAGAATAAAAAAAGAATTAGAGAGGAAGTCAACTTCCAAGCAGAAGCTATATATACTATTTTGACATATTATCTTCAGCAAGTGCTTAAAAAAATATAAGTTTTTTATGGGTCCCTTCCTCCACTGGCCCCAGTGCTGTGTGCACAACAAATCTCTGACAGACTTCTGGTTGTGTTGGGTAATTCCAAGAGGACCGTTAGCCGTTGCATTAATACAGGCATGCGCTAAGGCTGAGGCTGCTCCTGACGGGCCCGAGTTAGAGTCTGGAACGCCACCATTTAAAAAGAGACCCAGTAAAGGGCATTATTTGAAACCCAAGAAATAATCACAAACAAAGCTTGTCAGTAACTTCTTTTTTTTTTTTAAGATTTTTTTATTTATCTGACAGAGAGATAGAGAGTACAAGTAGGCAGAGCGGCAGGCAGAGGGAGAGAGAGAAGCAGGCTCTCCGCTGAGCAGGGAGCCCGACGTGGGGCTCGATCCCAGGACCCTGAGATCATGACCTGAGCCGAAGGCAGATGCTTAATGACTGAGCCACCCAGGCACCCCAAGCTTGTCAGTAACTTCTTAAAGCCTGAACATTTGATCTAAATATCACATGCCTGAATTTATCCCTTTACCATTCATTTTCTTTAATGGTGGGGGAAAAACAATAAAATTTTAATTGAGCTATCCCTCTTAGCAGTGAACAGTGCTGGCTAGAATCTATACATAACATCAAAACAATTGCTCTCCAGAACTGGTCGACAATCTTGCCTAGCCTACATTTAGAAGAAAACGATATCACCTCACTGTCCAATCTACTGGGGAGAATAGATGGAAGCATTCCTTAGGAACTATGTCAGTATACAATATCTAAAGTGGTTTATTTTTGTCAGGAATCTAATTCTTAGCGCTATAAGCTAAGCCATTCTCCTTGTATTCTGTTCTTAAAACTTACTAAGAGCAAATCAAGAATTGAAGAAAGTTACCAAAAAAATAATAATAATAATAATAACAAAAAAACCCCTACAATCTCCTTGTTAGCACCTCTTCATGCCACGGTGATTTGATCAGTGATTTGATAAGTATAGATCACAACCCTGCATTTAATGCAGGGTGGCCCACTTTTAAAATGACCCATTTATAACAAAGGTCTCTCTGTTGGAACGATCAAGAGAGTTTAAAAAAAAAAAATGCCACCAGTATCAGATACTTTTATTTAACTAGGCATTGCAGAACAATGAAACTGCAAATCTGGAGACCTTCATCTTATCCCAGCTTTACTAACTGTGAGATAAACAAGTCAGTAAGATTTCCGGATTCTCATACTCTCTGTGGTTTTACTGAAATTATTACCTGCCCTCAAACTACCCCGCAGAGAAGTCCTCAAGTAGAAAGAACACAAGTATCGCAGAACGCTATAAGCTCCTTGGAGAAAAGAGTCTAAATGCTTTAAGTAATAAAAATGCACAGATTATCTTTATTTACAGTAGAATATTTGTGAAGAGTTAGGCTACTATGAACTAAAAAATTCCCTTTGAATTTTTAAGAGTTTCAAACATAACACTCACCACAGTAGAAAGGGGAAAGATAACCTACCCCATGTTCCCATCCATTAGAAGAATCGTGTTGTATATGTGAGAAAATATGAAGAGAAACAGAATTGTGCTGAAGAACATTGTCATCCATGACCCATGATCCTCTCGAAACATTTTTAACCGGAGCAACTGACCTGCAATATAAGATATTATGAGAAATCAGTGTCCATCATGACTCACAATTCACACAGCTTTGCTTTCTTTTACTGAATCTCTCTTATCTCACTATTTTCTGAGATCTTTGCCATAGAATTGCCTTATGGGTCAAACCACTCTACTAATGTCCTTTCTGTCTTTGGTCAATAAATGATCACGGATGAAGTTCAAGACAGTCCCTGTATCATCCTGGAGCAAATAATACTAACATGAGACTCGAGGATAGTTCAGAGATCGTTCATGATGCTGCCCTGAAAACAAGAGGAATTAGAGCGCTGACACCTATTTTCTATTTCACTAATGTGTCTTTGGTTTCCTGTATACTGAAGCTACTTCAGGCAAATGGTAGAGACATTGTGTAAGTTCCACATAATTCCCTTTTGCTTCCATAGGCCCACCCCCAGTCCTGACCAGACAACAAAACTGAGGCAGATCCAATTGTTGAAGGTACATGAAAACTTAAAAGGAAAAATATGGTGGCTGCCATAAGATCCAGACGACATACCCTCACTCTCAGCTAAAATACCCACACTTGCATATAGGCCTGTGCGTAAGTGTGTGTGGGTTGAAGGGGTCAGATGGGGGGATGGGAGGGGGCAGGATGTACATGTGTTACGGAGCTTGGTGTGGCTCCCAGCAAAAGGATATTTCCACCCTGATGCCTAAAATTCCATTTACATAGATAAATGCTAAGATAAGAAAGAATCTTAAAATGCAAATATTTCAAGGAGGGAAAACATGTATAGATGAATACTAAAAAAACATTACTAATATCAGAATTAATACAGAAACATTTCAGTAGAGAAGAGAAATGAGAGCATTACTATCCTGAAAATTGAGAGAGATGACAAACCATGGGAGTAAGAAACAAATGAACGTAGGTCACCCTGGCTTCTCCTAAGATCAACTTTGTCTACTAGGCTTATTTCCATTCCTGAGAAAGTTATCTAAATAATGATAAGGGAGATGATACACACATATAAACTACAATTAAAATAAAGTAGGCCTTAAATCCTATAATAGAATTTCTCACCAGAGAAAATATTCCCTTTTTATTCATGATATGTCAAGGCTATGAAAAAGATATACATATTTCCATCTGGAAATTGTCTCTCTAGGGATAGACAGTAGCTCTCATGTAGGTTACTGAGGATAGGAAAAAATCTTTTAAGATTTAATTACTAAGATTTTCTTGTACCTCACTTTTATTAAAATAGCACTTTAGGTTTCATTTGGAAACCAGAAACTTTACACTAGCCAAAACTTTAAATAGAGCAAAAAAAAGGAGATTTGGTTACATCATCTGGTTTCTTGGCCTGTGCAAGAGAAGCAAAGGGCAAATCTGAAAGTCAAGGGAAGAAGAACATGGAAAACTCTCTACTGAAGCAAACAATACTAGCAGAGCAAATTACAACTTCACAGAACTTGCTGATAAACTGAATCAATAGTTATGGAAAACCAGAGATCTGCAAGTCTCCACACAATACGTTGTCAGGAATATGATAAATAGATATTAAGCACAGAATGCTTGAAAGTAAAACACTCATGCCATAAATATCATAAAGCAAACTGTAAAGAATATGATTCATTTGTTGAGCAAAATATTGAATGTGTTCTGATGACATGTCAGCCATGGTTCTAGGTACTAGAGATACAGCTGAGAGCAAGGTAGAAAGGTGTTTGAAGTCCATCATTATTTGGGTGATTAATGAAAATGTGATCTTATCTCAGGCTCATGGGCTCTCTTTGTTCAAGTTTCCCTTAGCTTCAAGTCCTTTCAGCTTCAAACTAAGATTTATTTAGTTCAGCAGTGTAGACTGAAGAACAGCAAAGACCAGCAATTAGAGTTCCTTGAAAATTTAAATGTGAATTTCCTTCTTAACATATGCATATGTCAAAAAAATTACTAATGGATGTGCTTTAAAAGTCAAATCATAATGCTGGTGATTGAAGAGTGCTTTGCAAATAAAACATAGTAGATTAGCTGTGCACTGGCTGAAATAACACGAAGTTAGTAAAAAGGGAAACGTGACAGTACCACTTACGCTCTCATTGCCAAGCTCATTGTCTGGCACTAATTTCAGTCATTAGAGTCATTAGAACAAAATGGCAGGTTAACAAGGCCTGAAATTCATTTGTGACGCACAATAAAAGTGTTGCAATATATGAAGGACACCACTGGTGTGGCTCCCACGTTCAGTCGAATCACATTATAAAAATTCCCCATAAGTTACTTCAAGGTTAACATCCACCCAATGGATGGGTGTCCATCCTATTGCTAGAAACACATATGCATAGATTGCCATCAGTTGGCTGCTGGCGTAAGTGACTTCTCACCAAGCTAATCAGATCAGGAACCTCGGTGTTACCTGAGGATGTCACACGAAAATGTGTTGTCTCTCCCTATAATATGACCATATATTTGGTCTGCCTGGGACAACAGTGGCTTATCACTGTTGTCCTGACATAATTATTCAGAATGCCCCCTTCATTTCTTAAGTGTACTGGTTTGGGTAATAAATTATATGCCACCTTCTCTGTAGATCACAGAATTCAAAATTTTATCACACTTTCCTTTAGAGGAGTTTCAGTAAATAACTGAGTGAAGACAGTCCTATAGGTCAACAAGAGTAAAAGGGCATCACTGAGAAGGTGGGTACATTCCCGACAAGGTCATAAGTGACTTTTATTTTAACCATAGATATATTTATGAATATGAGTGTATATTTATATTAATAAAATTTGTCTTGGACTGTATGGACCATCACCTTTGATAAGGTCAAGGTAATTGGAAAATGAATCTTAGAACAAGCAGAAGCATTAAGATGGTACACGAGTCTATAGAGGTGTTGGAAGACACAAGGACTGGCTGTTACAAATGCTGGTTAAAGTCAACTGAAATGCCCTAAAACCTCAGAATCTTTCCTGGAAATACAGTGGGTTTAAGGCCAGTAAGATGTTATAAAATTCTAGCAAGATTAATGATCTAAAAGCATATTTAAAAATATATGATGACCCCACATATGTAGTGGAAAATAAAAAGAGGCAAGTGTAATAGGGAGAAGTATGGACAAACTGCTTGGTTTCTTGGGGGGATTTCTGCTGCTGTGTTCTCATCGGCAAAATAAAAAGGAATATTTCCTTTCTACCTCACAACCAGACTTTTATCCTGTGTTCTGGGTACCTTTTGTTCAAGTGTGGTTCTCACAAGGAAGACTTGAACAAAGAAATAAACTAAGCAATCTCAGAGGCAAAGAAGAAGAGTCTGTACTTCCACGCAAGAGACGGGGGTAGCCCTACTCCTGGGAATTTGTTAAAGCAAGGGATTCGATAGAGCGAGGGCTTCTAGGTTCATGGAGGATACGAAGATTTAGGCCTCCAAGGTGGCAGAACATCATTTGGACTTGATTTAATGGATGGTGGTGAAAGCCAGTATCAAGGGTCATGGCACTGAAAGTCAGGTAAGGAGACTGAGTTAGCCCCTAGGGTATAAGGCCAGTAGGACAGCCACCAACCTCCATTAGGAACACAACAACCTGGGCAGGACCCAGACAACTGTTGGAGGATATCATCGAGAGGACATGATGACCAGGTGACCCTCAAGCCAGACCTAGGCAATCGGAGGCTCCTGACCCCTTCCCCTGTTATTGGAATGCTCGTTCTATCCACCACTCCCACCATGGGAGCTATTTTTAACAATGCAGTATTGAGAGAGCAATGAGTTGTTGCAACTGTCCAGACGGTGTAAGTGACTGAACTCCGTTGAGACCTCTATACAAATTTTAAGATTGTAGTGGGCAAGTGCAAAGATCTACTTGTCTTATGGCCACCGAAGGCAAGCCTCGTATATGTTCTCTTGCTTATTAAAACCACCACCTCCCAACCGGGAGGTGCCTGACTCTTCCTTCGGTCTCTCCTTGCCCTCCATGGGTGGGGGCCAGTGTCAGATTTTACCTGAGAAATTCCCAAGGTTGCAAACCAACAACCTCTTAACCAGTACCATAGCGCCAAAGAGGGGGCCGAAGACCATCACCCAAGCAGCATTAGAAGAAGCAGGGAACAGGTAAATACAGATTGAGGGATTTGTTTCCAGGACCCCTGTAGCCTTAGGACTATTTTAAATTTTAGTGATAAAAAAAGATAAGGTGAAAAATTACCAGTATTGTACTCTCTGCTCGCCTTGGTAAGCAGGAATCAGAGCAAGATTTATATGATATAGAGGAAAAACTGTGGCATTACACATAAGACCCTGAGCAGGAAATATAAAAGGACAAATGAAGGTGGCACTTTCCTCAAGAGGACTTCAAACTGAATTAATACCACTATCCATTAAGCCTCCTGCTCCAAACTCTCCTATATATGATGTAGCCAGCCATATACACAATGTATATTTGCATGTACATAATGGATACATATGTAAGACAAACATGTAATCTACAGCAAATTAAAATGTTTTAATTTGTTGAGGTCAAAAGCTGGTTGTAGTCAAAGTTGGAATAGCAGGCATTCCACATAGCAGTAAGAATGTTCTCTGTTGCCAGTAACAGAAAAGGAAGGAAGGAAGCAAGGAAGGAAGGAAGGAAAAAAGGAAGGAAGGAGCGGAGGGGAGGGGAGGGGAAGGATGGGGTGGGGAGGGAGGAGGGGAAGGGAAAAGAAAAGAAAAAACTAAAAACCAGCTTAAATTATAAGGAGTCTTTTATTTATTGGCTTCTCACATTTTCTAACAAACATGTTTATTCCCTAAAAAAAAACATAACTTTCTCCTTAACATGTATGTTCAGAAAATAGTATAGATTTAGTTTAACTAAAGAAATGAAATGACTTCAAGCAAGGCTTGATCCAGCACTCAAACAAGGCTTGATTTATCTCCATTTCCCAGCTTGATTTCTTCAAGGTGAAGAAATGAAACTTGTTTCATGAAACTTGTTTCCTTATCAAACTTCTTTTCCTCAACACCCTTATTTCCTGTGCACCCCAT